GACAGACAGACAGACAGACAGACAGACAGACAGACAGACAGAGTATTTATTAATTTTCCTGTTTATATTTTACTTTATTTATTCTTTTGTGTACAGCTGAGCTGTGAAAAAGAAATGACGTAACAACTGTGAGAAAGAGTTGATCAAGCTGCTAATTAGTCAGTCTGCTATTGAGCGCTGGCCAATGAATAAAACGATTAAGCATACAATGTATCGCATTAAACATGATAACAAGTAGCTTCTCCTATCATTTCATATTTACAGTAGACCACTAAATGGTACAAATATCATATTACACGTGTTATAACGCCCACCAATCTCACTCTCTTGATACCATTTTTTAATCACATCCTTTGATGGGACTTTGCGAACCACGTATTGAGTCTGTGTCTTTCACGATATCATTTGCCGGATGGGGTCAACCCGATGTGATCCCCAAAAAGCTATCACCATTGTCATCATTGTGCGGCTCCAGACTAATACGAAATGGCAATTACCAGGATGTAGTCCGGTTGGAAAGTATCGGCTTTCTCATTTGATTAGTTCTCATCCTCACCATCCGTCATCCCCGCCACCCTCCCCTTTCTTAACTAGTCACACACTCTCCTCAACAAACCTGACAAAACTGTGTGGTTGTTTTGTTTCGGGGTTTTTTCCCTTTCTTTAATTTTTTTTTCTAAATCTACATGAGTTCACCCTTACTTCCAGGAGTACAAAGACAGTTTTACAAATCTTCTTCTTCTCAGCTTTTCTAGTAGTTGGACTTCGCTTCTCGTACACATCTGCATTAAATTAAAACATTGTGTCTCTTGTAATTCTGCCTGTCTGGGCTGTTTTGGTCCCAAGCCATGTTTCTGTCCTGTTTCCGACTTCTTTTGGGTCTCTTGTCTTCCATCTTTGCTTTCAGAATATGTGTCTTAAGCGAATGAATAGTGGCATTTGATACGCCCAAAGCAGTTTAGTTTTAGTTTCTTTACGCTCTGGAAGAATACATGTATTCACCTTATTTTCCCCTATAGTTCTACTTATTCCATTCATAAATCTGTACATACACCGATCCGCATGGTTGTACAAACAAGAACCCATCCTTTATGCACCTTTTTAGTTTAAATTTGCATTTTTCTAAAAACAAGTTCTCGCCCACCCATCCGTCTGTCCGTCCTTATGTCTGCGAGTCCATTCCTTTGGTCTGTTTGCAGTTCCTTCGCCCGTCTGCCTGTCTATCTGTCTAAGAGGACAGGAAAATGTCACAGAGCCACGGAAAGACAGCCTGAAATAGACTCCAAAGAAAATAATCTAGAGCAACAATTTCAGCCCTTCCAAAATAGCGCAGAGAGCTGCGATCGATGGAGCCAGTCTAAGCACTGTTACGGCCCGCGGCTTACA